TTCAACGTCATGCCTTGCTGGATGGACGCGAGGAGGGCGCCTCGGCCCGCACCGGCCGCAGCTGGGGGAGCAGGTGGAGGAGGGATTCCAGCTGGAGGGGGTGGCGGGGGAGCAGACGGGGCTCCTCCAGGGGGTGGGGGCGGCGGGGGGGATAGAAGGAGCACCGGCTCCTGGGGGAGGAGGCGGGGGCGGGGGCGGGGGAGGGCCTGCAGATGGCGCGGGTGGTGGGGAAATCGCATCACCAGGGCTTGGTATGGCGGGAACAGGAGGCAGAGTTACTGGGGGTGGGGGTGGAGGTGCAACAGGGCTTTCTTGTACCGGGGTAGCGGATTTCGAAGCAGACTTGTCTTCATCCATGGCACTCAGAGGGCGTGGGGGCGCCATGGTGCCGAACAGGATGCTGGCAAGTTGCTTAGCGCTGCCGCCGGTTGGACGGTCATCGTCATCATCAGACGAATCAGCCTCGGAGCCGGCAGCGGACCAATCATCATCTTCCTCAGGCCGGGCACGAGTTTTGCGTTCCAAGGGAGCTGCGCCGGTGAAGGTAGGCTTGATGGGCTCTTGCTGCGTCAAGCGGTGGAACGGATTCGTAGACTGAGCTGTAGTAGGCGGCGAGGTCGCTTGGGTGGGGTCGGATGGTAGACCCATGTTCTTAAAGTATGGGTTCTTGGACTCGGCATCGGGCGCGGCGCCAGGAACACCACGGCTGCTTTCGGGTGAGCCCACTTCGCTAGGTACACTTTCGGGGGCAGGAGGTTCGGGAATCGCTATCGTAGGCACGGGAGGCGGGGTAGGGAGAATTTGGCTCTGCGCCGGGGTGCTGTACTGAGGCGTAATATCCGCAGGGCCTTCGTCGTCAGACGATGACTCGTCGAGACCCTCGAGTTCAAGCTGCAGCTGTCGCTCGCGTTCTTTAGCTGCCTCCAGTTCAGCACGTTGGGCTGCAAGAGTAGCTTCCTGTTCTTTGGCTTGTCGACTAGCCTCTTCCCTGCGGCGCTTCTCTTCCTGCTTCTTGATCTTGCCCTGGCGAACCTGTTCTTCAAGGGCACGGAGTCGAGCGGCCTGGGCATCTTTCTCCCGTTGTAATTCCAGCTCGGCTTGGCTTGCCTCGCTCCTGGAAATGTATTAGCCAACTCCACTAATTTTGTCTCTATCGGCTGTGGATCACTCACTCTAGACGCTTGGTCTCTGCCTCCTGCACCTCTTGCTCTTCCTTGATGGCCTGCTCACGGGCAGCCTGGTCCACTTTAGCGGATTCATCTCCCCTCTTGGCATCGGCTTGGCCGGCACTATCCGTACGAGCCCTGCGGGTGGGCGGCGCTGGTGGTGGTTTCTTGCCCGCCGTCTTGGGAGCAGCATCACTAGGCACACCCCGTTCCTCGGCTAGGCGACGCTGTCTCTCCTGTTCCCGCTTAGCATCCTCTTCCTCGGCGCGTTTGACACGGTCTTCGCGCTCCTTCCTCTCACGCTCCTGGCGTTGCATAAGAGTCTCGCTAGCGTCGTTTGGCTTCAAACCAGCAGCAGCCATGCGCTCGGCAATGCGCTTCTGCGCACGCTCTCGGGCAGCTGCCACACGATCTTCATGTGTGTTACCAGGAAGAGAGCTTGACGAGTCCACAGACTGAGGCATCGAAGGGCGGGCAGCAGCAGATTCGGCCGCTGGAGATGCTCGAGACTGCACCTCAGGAGAAGGTCTCCCTCGCCTATATAATGTCAGCATTGAACACTTATCCTGGTTGACAAGAACAACATACTCTTCTTTGCGAACATTTGCAGTTCGCGCATTGCGGCTCAGGTCGTAGATAAAGTCGCGGATGACGTCCTCAACTCCCAAGGCATCTTCCCAGCGACGCTTCTCATGCTCACGTGTGGAGTTTTGGCCTTCCTCGCGGAGACTATCCTCCAAGCTGCGAGCGAAATCACGCACACTTTCCTCAACATCACGAGTCATAGTGTCATTGCGCTCACGCTCGGCCTTCACTTTAGTGCTCTCCGACTCCAGACGACGAGCCGCCTGGCCATCGTCCTCTTCCGTCGCGGGTGCGGGACGACCAGAAAGCTCTGCAGCGCGGGCTTGCATACGCGCACGCGCGCGGGCCTTGATTCGATCTGCCTCAGTCACAGTGCCGCCAGGGCCAGTGCCAATAATGTTAGAGGCACCACCAGGGTGTGCCTTGGCGTCCTTGAGACGGAAGAGCTCAAGCCTCGCGTCCGCGATCTCACGCTCAAGACGACGCACATCAGATGCAACCTGAGGAACTTGATCTTCAAAAGACTGCAGCTGGCGACGAAGAGCTCTGCGATCCGCCCCATTGTCCACTTGGCGGAATGCAGCATTGGGGTGGGTATCGAGGTCATCCTGTACACGACGGATACGGTCCATGAGACTCTCTGCCTCGCGGCGATCCTGGCGATCCAAGGCATCATCATCCTCGGCTCGGTTCTCGTCCTGGAAGTCGGCTGCGTCAATCATGACCTTGGTCTCCCGAATCTTCTTGTGCAGCTGTTCCACAGAATATTCTTCGTCTGACGCGCCGGAGGCGGCCGGTGACGGGGTACGGGCCTCGTTACCAACGCGACGACGTGCGCTAGAGCGGTACCCACCAGCGGAGTCATTGTTCTTGAACATCGTCGCATCCTTACGGCTGGCCCCAGAAGCGCCTCCGGCACCACCACGGAAGGAGTGATCTTTAAGATAGCTGACACCAGTCTTCTGCGGCTGCAGGAAAGCCCCAGTAGCCTTGCGATTTTCAGCATCCTGAGAGAGAAGAGACTTGACTGTACCGATAGAGTCATTCAGGTGTCTCGTGGAAGGAGGAACAAGCTCGGGTGGTAGACGGTTTGGAACTGGGTATCCGTTCAGAGCACGGTAGATCATGTGCATAGCCACGGCGAACTCATCCATGTTGAGTCGGCCGCGATTATGGGGATCAGCAAGGGTCCAGATCCGTTCCAGGTCTTTTCTATTCAGACCACTTTGGCCCATGATCTCGATGGCAGTCTCGCCACTGATGAAGCCCTTGCGGAAACCGTCCCATGCGCGGAAAAGCTCATCGTAAATCTTCTTCTCCTCCTTCGTAATTGCCCAGGCAACTGTAGCATTTCCTGAAAGGCCAACCGCACTGAAACCACCTTCACGCCCCGGCTGCGGCATAAGCTGTTGCTTCATAGCATCGATGTTAGGCAAACCCTGCGCTGGTGTGTTGATGAATCCCCATTGACCTGGCATGCCCGTAGGTTGTGCCGTCAGGCCCGTAGGCTGCACACCCAGGCCTTGCATTCCACCGGTCTGGGCGGGGCTGAGGTTCGACCCATAACCAGTAGGCATAGGCGGCATCGGAGGCCGAGGGCCAGTATATCCAGTAGCCTGCGGGTTGGTCATGAAACCAGTTTGTTGAGGCTGAAGGAATTGAGACTGATTCTGGCCAGGGAAGCCCGTCGGGTTGGGCTGGATACCTGTCTGCTGAGGGAAGAACCCAGTAGGCTGTGCTGTCAGCTGTGACAGGAGCTGGGCGTTGTTCGGTTGCTGCGGAACGGGCTGTTGAACAATTGGGGGCGTCGACTTGTTCTCCATGAGAGGCGCATCGAAGTTGGGGACATTTGTTCGTTGTTGGACCGGCGCCTGTGTGTCGGGGACATCAAACGAGATGATGTCAACCATACTGGAAACCTCGTTCTTGATCGTCTCAGGTAGGGAAGAAGGAAGCTCGCGACCAGTGAGACGGATATTGCACAGGTACATGGCCAATGCAAACTCGGGGAAAAACAACTGTCCGGATTTGGTGGTATCAGACAAAACCCAGATCTTAGAAAGATCAGCGCCCGTCAACTTGGAGCGCAGCAAAAGATCTCTTGCTTTGTCGCCTATTGTAACCCGTTAGTACTATTATACAAGCCATAACATGTGAGCCATAAGTGCACGGAAACCCACCGTCCATTGTCTTGCTATCGGCAACCGCAGACTTGAAGAGCTGCTCGAACCTCGCCTGATCCTGCGCTGTGATAAAAGAAAGCCGAATGCTCGGGATCTTTGACCCTGTCTTTGGCGGCACCTGAGGAGGCGCACCAGAGCCAGCAGCATCTTGGAAGGAGTTCGCGATATCGCTTGAGGTCTTGAACCGAGTTGGTATCTGTGGCACCGGAGGCGGCTGCTGCGCCTGGTTCTGGGGAGGATACCCGGTGTATTGTGGTTGGAAGCTTTGCGCTTGCTGCTGCTGGGGTTGCTGAGGCGCGGCGCCGGGGAAGCCAGTGAATTGCGGCTGGACCTGTCCCGCGGGGAATCCGGTGGCTTGAGGCTGTAGCTGCGAGTTACCGAACGGGGAGGGCTGGCCGGCGAATCCGGTCGGTTGTGGAACGAGACCAGTAGGCTGTGGAGCAAATCCAGTCGGTTGAGGTTGTTGGATTGATGGCGGCTGCTGGCCTTGGGGGAATTGCGAATAGGGGGGGTTGCTGTTGCTGTTGCATGAATGGTGCCTGGCCGGGACGGCCACTGGCACCACCCCCGAGGAAATTATTCGACGAGGAGTACATCACAGAAACCACGCTCGCATGAGCAAACTAGATGCAAAAAGGCCAACAAGAAATTGACGAGAAGAACGAATGCAAAATGGTAAGTGAGTTGACTCTCAGGAGGATGCGAATGACGCCGTTGCTAGACGCGGAGGCACCTGGACTAACCTCATCGGGCGCTTAGTCATATGCCCGAGATATTTTTGGATCTACGACTATAATACTTGATTGATGGATACAAGCGATGATTTAAAGCTTTAAGCTTGTGGATTTGTCAGTATCAGCATGGCATAGCCAAGTGTCTCGGAAATAGTTGAAAGCAAAAAAAAAAGACGCGCCTGCGAAGAAAGGGGCCATCCATAAATCCCCAGATCGAAAACGAAAATAACGAAAACAAATGCAAGGCATCAAAGACCATAACTGCTCCATGCGCCAGATTTTCAGACCTAAGAAAAGAGCACAGATAATGACTGGGTGTCGCTCACAGCCATTTACTCGGCAGTATTCTGCTGTTGCTGGTTGGCAGCGTTGGCAGCCTTGCGGAGCTCGTACTCCTTGGTGAATTCCCGAGACAAAATACCCAGGTCCTTGATCAGAGCCTCGGAGGCGTTAATAACAGCCTGGCGGGGGGGTGACTTCACCGTCAGTCTGGATACGCAGTTGGAACTCAGGAGTCAGCGGGTGAGGAACCTAATAGATCCTTATTAGTATCTTTCCAAGGAGCAACATATGCATATAGTAGGTTGCTTACGCGGTAGGCAGCAAAGATAACATGAGGAGTCTTCAGGAGACGGTGGCGGAGCATGTTGCCAAGGGTGTGATCTTCCTTGCGGAAGGTAAAGATGGCAGCAGAGGGAAGACCTAGAGAGATACAGTCAGTAAGCTTGTCCAATCTACATCGATTAGCATGACTTACGGGTGTCAATCTCGACATCAATCTTGCTCTCGCCAGGGGCGAGCAGGATAGCTTCATACCTATATGCACAACATGGTCAGTTTATGGGTTCCACAGATAGAAAACGAGACATGAAGAGGCAGAAAAAGGACAAAAGACAAGGAAACAGAAGCCTTAATTCGTGAGTTTGTTCAACTGACACGTCAGGGGCATCATCAGGGAGCATAGGACGAGGATGGCGTGGGTGGGGACCCTGGTTGCGACGACCAGCACGCTCTCTGGCGATGGCCGCAGTGGCCGTGATAATAGCAGGGCTCTGAGGCATGACTGCGCAAAACAGAGACGGGGAAACAAGGGATTCACAGTAAACAAGAGGGTAGCGGTGCACAATAAAATGGCTGTCCGTAGGTAAAGAAGAGAATGAGACGAGGGAAAGATGTTGACAGTGGAGGAGAGGGGATAAATAGAGGTGATGCAATGCTCGCCAGGGCAGGAGCAACTGTGTGAGGAAAGTGCCACCAACACGATCCGGGTGCTTCCTTCCTCCCCAGATTGACAAGATACAGAAAAAAAGGGGAATGCATACTTAACCCCGGAATCCGGGGGATAAGTTCTGGGGTACACATGATATCCAACCGAAATCGAAGATCCAGTATTCAACGCACAACCAACTTCACCAGAGCAGCTCAAAATGAACAAAACTTGAGGAATTTCAGAAATTCTGGCATGTACTTACCGATCTGGGGCGTTCATGGTGGCGAGAAAGTCGTTTTTAAAAAATCAAGAGGTTTGAGGGCAACCTTGAAAGACAGCTGTATCGGTATCGATGATAGGATTTTATGTATGTATCCAAGAAATGGTTGCAAAAGTGAGAGAGAGATTGACAAGGGGTCAAAGTCAGGGCGTAGTTTCAAGGCCTATTTATAGGTGACCAGTTCGTTTGAACTTGTGAAGACAATGGCGATCAAAAGCGTATGTCCTCGGAATACGATTTTGGGGATGCTTATTGAGGGCAAACAAGTTCAAACAAAGGAACCCAGCGGGGAGGTACACTTCAAAACTTTATTTGGGCCCTGGGTTCGCAACCGTCTCTTTGCTCGATGTTGATGTTGAGTGATGAAGATATCGTGATACATCTCGATATCGATATCGATATCGATCATGTGACCGATCCGAAGTATGTCATCACGTGATTGCAGTTATATGATCTCCATACTTGGGATCAGTTCCGGGGGGCGGTTACTTTATCTTCATCTCACTTTAACCCAATTTGTTGGTTTGGTGCTCCCAAATCAATGGTTGTTCCACAATTTGCATATTACATGTTCCTTATATTTATCAAGGGAATACAGAAGGTATCTCTCGACATGTAGGACATAATATAATGTCTTGTTTTTGTTTACTGAATTCGATCATCCACCTAATGTATATATGTTTTCAGGGATTTCTATCAATGGAGTTGCAATATGCCGGGGAATTCCGAGAGACTTGACTTACTAAACCTACCCAAAGGTCATCATCGCAGGCAGATCATCATCTTGATATGACATGTGACATATATTAGCGGTAGTGTATAGGGAACCCAGTCTCTACCAAGATATACGCTATGATAAGCTGTACACTCCCACTGAAGCAGAAAACACGAAACCCAAACAAAATAAAGAAAGAACCTTGGGAAGAGCCGATATAACGGCCATAAGGCCCGAAATGTATTAAAAAAAGTCGAGTAGAGGCAGAGCGCTCTGACGAGAAGACGATGCAAAATGAAAAGACACAATAACAGACGAAAAAAAGAAACACAAAGATGGAAACCTATCAGATAAATAACGCCATGTCTCTTCTCGCGCCGATATCATAAGAAAGCAGGTTAAAAAAACAGACCGAACTCAAAGATCAAAACTAGACGAGAAGCACAAGGAAAGCATATGTATTCATACTTGTAAATGTCGAATCCCTCCTGCCCATACCAGAATGACCATGACACGATGATACTAGGGCACCTGGCATAGGGAACGAGGAGTGACATACAAGATGTGAGATGAGGGCTTGGGATGTATTATCGAGCCGACATATCCAATTGGCACGGCAAGCCCTTCTCTGAGTTGATGGTATGTGCGTCATATGTCATGTCGTAGAGGGAGCGGAGGATATTAGGAAACGCAAGCGGAAATGGAAATGCAAAGAAAGGGGCAGGCTATACAGCGTAACGCGGAGATATTTCTTTTCAAATGCAATGCAAGCATGCTTTCATGGTTGAGTTGAGGAAGGACGAAAGGGAAGAAAGGAGAGCAAGACAGAAGTAGGGGCTTAGTGCACAGCGCTCAGCAGATCCCCGAACGAAGACGTCCCTCGCTTCATCTTCCAGCTGCTCTTCTTCTTCTCACGCTTCTTCGCCATGTCAGCCCAGGCCTCGTCGTCATCCTCTTCATCTTCGGAACCGGGCTTTTGGGTTTCAAGACCATTGCTCCGTGAAACGGGGCGGACGGTCACAGTGGCGAGATGTGATTTCGGAATGTGAGACTGAGGCAACGGCATAGACGGGTTGAGGTTTTCGTCACCAAAAGGCTTGTTTGTTGAGGACGCTACTGCGTAATTCGATTCGGACGGCATGACGGACACTGGCCGGTAACGAGGCGCCATGCCGACATTGCTACGCTCCGACGGAGCGATAGAAGGAGCATATCCGGTGTTGGGGCGGAATGGGGTGCCGGACAGGTTCGGCATGGGCGAGCCAGTCCTACGAGTTGAAATGTTGGGGTCCAGCATGCTCATCGTACGCTGATCGATATGGGGCAGCGAGGGCGGCATATTGAGAACGGATGTTGCAGGCATGGACATCGGCCGGAAGTTCGGGTTGCCAGCTATGGACTGGGGTCCTGCTGTAGACGGAGGGCCCATGGGAGGCATGCTCATTGCTCCACCAGGCATCATCATAGGAGGCATTTGCATGCCTTGCATCATAGGTTGACCCTGCCCACCTTGCATTTGCATCATTTGCTGCATCCACTGCATCTGCATCTGCATCATGGTGGCCATCTGCTGTGATAGCTGGATAGAAGCTTGCTCCCCGGGGGTAACATTTTGTTGCTGCTGCTGCTGTTGCTGCGGCATCATCGAGTATGGCCGAGGCACTGCTGTCATGTCGTGCATTGCTTGTGTGTTCGGACTTCCTCTGCGCATCGCGCGCGCCCGCTCCTCATTTGCTATAACACCGACAAGACCTCCAGGGGGAGGTGCTGGGGATGAAGATCCTCCATATACTGAACCACCTCCGAAAGCCAACGATTCACGGTTGGCGTTGTTAACCAGGCCTGCACCAAAGTAAGGATCTCGCGGCAAGTTCCTGGCAAAAGGTGGCAGAGCACCCCGGTTGCCATTGGGGTCGACACCCGAAACAGAGCTGGAAGATGATATATACGGCGGTTGCATGGATGCACGAAGGTTGGGATTGGAGCTGACATTGTTCAGGCGGGTTGGTGGGCGATTCTGACTGGGGAAACCGTGCGCGGCCAGGATACCAAGTGGCACGTCGTCATCCTCTTCCTCGCTGCTCTTCCCACTGTTGGACTTTTCACCTAGTACAGACAGGCGACTGGGGTTCAAGTTGGGCGTGCTGTTGCTAGCTCCGCTCATGACGGGACGTAGCGACTGGACGGGGGCTTGTTGACCTGTGATTTTCATCATTTGCTGACGATAAACAGAGAGATGAGCCTCCTGCTTTCGTCGTTGACGTTCCGTCTCACGTTGCTTCTCCACCTCATCTTGTTCATCTTCAGACTCCTCGTTATCAGACTCATCATCACTCTTAGTCGCATCGCTGTTGGAACGTCGAAGTTCTTGTTGCTGGCGATAGTGCTCGAACTGAGATGGCGTCATCACCTTGTTGCCCGGAGAGGTTGACTTGGGAACACTATCCGTGTACTGCACAGCCAACCGTGCGTGATCCGCAATGGAGGGGTCCAATCTGTCGGCTGGAGCGGGTGAACGGCGGTATTGGAACATATTATCAGAATCTGGGTTCACTTGGCCAGAGTAATTGGGTGCTTTGCCTTTATCAATCAAGGGGGTTCCACCAGAGGAGCTACCCTCAGCCCACGGCGAAGTGCTTTCTTTGCTGAATACGACAGATTGTCGGACCATTTTGGCATCCTCGTCATCAAAGGTTGCGGATTCCCCCTTGGCCGAATATATCCCACTCCTTCGCAGTCCTCCTCTCTCCGTTCCCTGCGGGCGCTCCAAGGAACGATGTGAAGTAGTGGCCTCGGCAAACTGGTTGGGAGACGGCGAAAGCTTCCGGAAACCAGCAACTGTATCGAGGGTAGACTGGTTCTGGTTTAGCGGTGGGGAATGCGGGCCACGTAGCAAGCCCTCCTCGGACGGGCGACGATCCCAAGAGTAAGGGGGTGATTCGACCCCAGTCGATCGATCTGTATTAATCGCAGGAGGCGGGGCAGCTCTGCTGCTTTGGAACTCGGGAAGAACATGTGTCGGGGGAGACGAGGAGTACTGTGATACTGTCAGCACTGCATCCTTACCTGGACAACAATGTAGCTCTTACCTTGGCCGGTGCAGGGGATCCCCGCATTGCTGAACCCTCTTGTGTACCCATATTATCAAACATCGTATTGAAATCGTCCTGTGAGCTGAGAGCGAAGTCTGTATCGGGGAGCTTGGGTGGGGTAGCCGTGCTGTCGGTGCTGCCCGTAACCGGACGATTCTTTGCGGTATCTGGGGTTTGCTGCCGAGGGACATGTGGTCCCGACTTGCTGAATCGACCACCGAACGAGAAGGTTCGTCCTGCGGCGCGCAGTGCACTAGTAAGTGGTGGAGCTGGAACATCATGGATTCTAGAATGCGGGGACAGGGTCTCGTCGGGCGGAGGGACTTCGGTCGATGAGGGGAGGGTGGATGACGAGCTTAGCCTGGTTGACGTAGAACTTTCGTAGTTGCCACTATCATGGTTCCCAGTCAGCCGTCTCCTGAGAGAATCCATGGTCGAAGGGCGGTCGTACCGGCTCTTGTCCAGGGGTCGCTGCCTCTCCACAAAGATGTTATCAGAATCCTCCATCGACGGTACTGTATTACCCTCGCTCAGTGGCTTGGTCAGCACCGCTCCATCCGTCATGGATCGATGAGGCCCTGGGCGCTCGAAGACTCGAAAGGAGGATTGGTGAGGGGGTTCCACGTCTTCTTCTAGAACGTTGCCGGACGATTTCCGCCTGGTAAAGCTCTTAGGTAGTTTCATTGGCATGGAATCGGGTGTTTTAACAGATCAGACAGGTATTTGAATAACCGGCCAATGCGTGTTTGCGAATCAGCTCTCTC